GAGGCATGCATTGCACCACAGCTTTCACAGAGGCTTGTACCCTTCACATATAAAAGCTACTGGCAGTGAGAATGAAAAGAACAACACATTGGTGGCAAACGTGTAAGTCTGAGAACGAAAGAGAGTTTACAAGAAGCACACGTCAATTATTACAACAGTTTATTGAAAGAATCACAGGTTTTCAACAGCAAGCAAGCGACAAAATACACTAAGCAAAACGATTACTCATATTGCAAGCATTGAGATAAGAGTTCTACTTATACTGCTGCATTATTAAATATCTGCTGTTACTATAAGTAGGGAGATAATATATCAAATGATACTAAAAGAAATAAGTGGAAATCGCACAAGATGTCCTTCACTGTCCCATTTAAAAACTACTCAGTTTCGGCAAAATTTTGAAGACCGCACATGTAAAGTAAAAATGCATAACTCAGATGTATGTTAGTCGACAGATTATCCTCACTGCATGTCGGAATGGCTCAGTCCATAAGTGCTCAGATCTCCTCCTCAGTAAATCCCTCTAGTGGCTGACGACACCAGTTTTGTGTTGGTTTATTATTCAGTCCCGGGAAGTAAAGGCGGCAGGCGTGATGCTGACCACATCACCCATCTTGTGCCGACTGGTCTATAAAAGTATAGGTCTAGCCCTATACGCCCAGAGGCGTGGGAAAAGGACCTTCCTTTTTTTTTACTTATGTAAACATATATATATATATATATATATATATATATATATATATATATATATATATATATATATAGTTTACATTTAGCTAAATAATTTATTTTGCATGTGTAGTGGGCGTTAAGGGGGCAGTTCTAGCAGGGAATCAGTGGCGTTGGAAAAAAAATCATAACAAATTCAATTTTAAAGATGGGACTCTCAAATTTTCAGACATAATGACCATTTGGTAAGGCTTTCATATAAAACAAACATCTTTGTAATTGAATATATACATGTGAGATAATAATTTTTTTAAGTGAAAAATTTATTTTTTAAATATGCAAAATATAGATGTTACTTTGGAAATAGTTTTTGGGAAATGGTGCAGCCAAATTCCTTCCAAATTAAACTGCACATACAAAAATGGTGTGAGTATGGCCCGGACTATGGAAAACAGTACACATTTAAAAGATTTTATGTAATGCTACCTGAAATTTTCCTCTTTTTGTGTGTAAAAAATTACAAATTTGAAATTACATAAAAATGAACACAATCATGATATTAAAATTCCCTTAGAATAGGCTACAGCCAGTTATAATGTGAACAAGCATGCAAAATTTAATGCAGATTAGTTAAAAATCTGAGAAAGTTATACCAGGATAAGTGAAAAAAAATGTAAAATTTTACAACAAACGGCGTTAATTTTTTTGTTAACATTTTTCTGAATTTTTACCTCAGTGACTCCCTGTCAAATAAGGGTAGCCTTCGGATTGATCTTGTACCTCCTTTATTCCAAGTAGCTTCCCCCTCCTTGCACTTCTCGCTTCCAATGATGCTTCTGTTGCTTTCTTCTGAGAGAGTTTTTCAGCCGTAAACGTGTCAGTAGAGATGAACAATTCTGACGTGAAACATCCACATAATAGTTGCATTGCCACAACGGGCACTTCTAGGGTTTTTGCTCCATCATTGAAAATGAGTACTGAAATGCCAACTGCAATATTAACAGCTACTTATCCATGGTATTTGTGTTTGGGGCAATGTTGCCAAACTGTGCTGTTGATTAATTCGTTAGCGTTCTGGGTGTAGCCATCTAGAAATTTTCTCAACAGGTAGGGTTTGAGAGATCTATGAAAACTGGCTTGATAACATCCATAACTGCTGCAGGCAGGGAATTTTTATGTTTATAATCCTGTTCTGTGTTGGTAGCAATAGCGATGTTATTTGGGCACCAAATAATTTAGCAGAGATTGTGAACAGGCTTTTGATCCGTGGAGAGTTTGTGAAAATATATTGTCCAAACAGCTTCTCGCATTTCTTTCAAGTCATTTTTAGTACCTCTGATTGCATTCCCATAATATTTCTGAATAGAGTCACTTTGTGTGTCCGTAAGCCTTTCATTTCCACCAATATTCTTCCTATCGGACAGGTTCTTTCCCTTCCCACAAAATTATTTATATTGCGTAGTCGGGTACCTATTCTTTTTTGCACGTGCCCGACACATTCTATCTTCATAACAGGCGTGTCACTGTATGGCTTTGAATCAGAAACTGTTTTGAAGCTGTCTGTGTCACCATCTCCAAGCACTTTATATCCTTCATTTATTAGTTCATGTGTGTACTTCAGGACAGGCGGCAGAAAATTCATTATTCCCCGAAATGTTTGCAAGTCCGAACAGTCACTTCGTGCACAGCACATAGCGAAAACAGCTTGCTTGTTGACTGAGTGTACTTGTAAGCTGCTGCTGTAGTTGACACTTATTTGACAGTTGGAATGATAAATGGTCTGTCTTTTACAATTGTGGTTGCTGCATACAAATTCAAAGTGACTACCAAGTCCTTGTCTTTCATTGTCAGTAAGTCTGACTTGGTTGTAACAAAAAGACACAAACCAGCTGTGATGAAATCTGGTGACATAGAATTTCCAGGTCAGCAATCCTGTACCCTTCCCTGTCAGTACTGTCACATTTAGGATAAGTATTTGCCTTATCACATTCTTCTAAATCTGTATCCTGGATCATCATCAATGCCATACAGGTCGTTGATTTTTATTGATGACCGACTGTGAGTGGGCGTGGCACTTTGGTACTGGTTCTACTATTATTTATTACTACAACATTACAATTAACATATCCACAGATTACTTGTAGGAATGTCAATGTTATTGTTTATGTTTACATGTTTGTCGTTCTCAATAGTATGATATAAAACTAATTCTCTGCATCTCTTTGTAGCCCTTATAAATCTATTCCAAAGAAACTTTAACTTCATTGAATGTTACAATACTTTTTATCACTTGACATTGCTTAGAATATCACTTGTACAAATTATTTCAGACCAAACAAAATGTAAACACGCTTCTACAAAGGCAGCCATTTTGATTGTTCCGTACAAGGATCGTTCATTGTAAGAAAACTGTTAGGGAGGCTTGCATTGTCGCTAAATACATGTGTATGTGTGAAAACACAAATTTCTGATTTTTTTTCTTCCAAAACCAGAAAGACCTGACCATCTTTGAGCCATCATAACTCGGATACTACTTATCCGATTCTAAAAATGTATACAGAAACGTGTAGGACATTGATTAATCTTTAATTTGATACCAAATTTGTTTCGAAATTCAAAAATCACATTTTTTCGAGATTCTCTGCTAGAACTACCCCCTTAACACACAGCAACTTTCTCTCACAGACCCACACAAATGTAGGTAAAGACATATAAAATACATCCAGTTTTTTTTTTTAAGAAACAAAGGTGCCGGCACTCACCACAAGGTGGCAGTACTCACCACAAAGTGTCTATAACAATAACAGTAGCGTTAAAAAAAAACATAACACAGGTACAGAAAACCTATAACTTATTTACGGTGTCAGAAAGATTCAACAAACATGTCACACAAAACGGCTAACGTGTACTAATGAAAGACAATTGGGTGCCGTAAAATATACCACACTTTTCCTTGTATGTCCCCCCCCCCCCTAATTTTTAAAGTTAAAAATTGGGCGTTGTCCTATATACAGAATGTGTTTAAAAAATTTATTTCCTCATTTTGTTTTTAAAAAATAAGGGTTGTTTTATACATGGGGGGAGTATTATACATGAAAAAAATATGGTAATAACAACTATTTTGTAACATAATTATTTTTATAAAATAACTAACATTTTGTATTTGTGACGTCAATTTGAACATAGATTGCGCTTCATGATGGGCAGTCTTCAAGACCTGGACTGTAGTAGTAAGATCTTCATCATGTACCACGCTGGTAAGCACAGTCTGTCATTTCACAGTCTCCCTGGATCACCAGAATAACATATCAGGTCAATGTTCTTGTCTTATCCACCTATGTGGCTACATCATCCAGGTATTCATCTGTTTTCCTTCCCCTTGCTCTTTTGCCATCCATTTTGCCAGCTGTAGCAAAGTTCTTAATTCCGTCCTCCCCATGCAGGTTTTGGGACTCCATTTTGAAGGGAAAAGGGAACAGACCCACTGCCTCTTCCCCTTCCCTGTCATCAGTGACAGTCACAAGTTTTCTCCTAGCTGTCATCCCAGTGACAGTCACAAGTTTTCTCCCAGCTGTCATCTCAGTGACAGTCACAAGTTTTCTCCCAGCTGTCATCTCAGTGACAGTCACAAGTTTTCTCCCAGCTGTCATCTCAGTGACAGTCACAAGTTTTCTCCTAGCTGTCATCCCAGTGACAGTCACAAGTTTTCTCCTAGCCATCATCTCAGTGACAGTCACAAGTTTTCTCCCAGCTGTCATCTCAGTAACAGTCACAAGTTTTCTCCTAGTCATCATCTCAGTGACAGTCACAAGTTTTCTCCCAGCTGTCATCTCAGTGACAGTCACAAGTTTTCTCCCAGCTGTCACCTCAGTGACAGTCACAAGTTTTCTCCTAGCTGTCATCTCAGTGACAGTCACAAGTTTTCTCCCAGCTGTCACCTCAGTGACAGTCACAAGTTTTCTCCCAGCTGTCATCTCAGTGACAGTCACAAGTTTTCTCCCAGCTGTCACCTCAGTGACAGTCACAAGTTTTCTCCCAGCTGTCATCTCAGTGACAGTCACAAGTTTTCTCCCAGCCATCATTCCAGTGACAGTCACAAGTTTTCTCCCAGCCATCATCTCAGTGACAGTCACAAGTTTTCTCCCAGCCTTCATCTCAGTGACAGTCACAAATTTGCTCCTGTCCTCATGCCATCCCAATAGGCAACACCATAATTCTGATAACCTCATGACCCCAAATCACACTCATCTATGTTCCTAAATTATCTTCTGGTAATAATTTACAAACAGGAATAACTAAAAACAACATAAACGGAATAACTAAATACAATACTATATCAACTTGTTGGAATTAAGTGCACCTGGTAGAGGAACTTCATCATAGGTCAGTTTTATGAACGGGTAGACGAGCTGAAGCTTCCAGTACTCATCATTGTAGAAGAGGTAGAATGTATCGGTCTCAATGAACCACTCCATATACTTGAGCAGATTCTCCAGAACCTGAGCAAAACTTTTGGAGCCCTGAAAGTAGGTGTAAAACTGGTACAAATCGCTCAGGGTTGACGTGTCATTGTAGATCGTGCTAGAGTTGCCCACGTAGATGGGTTCTTTGCTGTAGAGAACAATCTTTGTGTAGTTGAGTTGAACAGACTGGTTGAACTTTGCACCAGCTGACCCAAGTGTGTCAAAAGCACGCAACACCCAGGAAGCACAGTCAAACGGATCAAACCAAACCTGGCCTCCTGAAATGTTTTTGAAGATCAAGTTATTGCTGAACACATAGTTTGATTATTAATGACTGTGTTTTGTGAACAGCCTAACTTATTTGAAGCGACTGATAACGAAATATTTCAGCGATTAATGAAAGTGATTTATGAGAAAAATATAAGTCAGCAATTAATGAAAGTGATTTATGAGAAAAATATAAGTCAGCGATTAATGAAAGTGATTTATGAGAAAAATATAAGACAGCGATTAATGAAAGTGATTTATAAGAAAAATATGTCAGCGATTAATGAAAGTGATTTATGAGAAAAATATAAGCCAGCTATTTACAAAAGTGACATATGAACAGTACATACTGTACTGAACGATAAACATATAATGTGACTTAATTTAAAGTAAAATATGCAGCCAGGATCTTTTCTAGAGAAAAGGATGCCATAAAAAATTTAACCTTCAAATGTCTAAAAATGTGTCGTTAGACACCACAAAATGTTCATCATAGTAGCACTGAAAAATAAATGGGCTTAAAAAGGTGTTCTACTGTGTGCAAATAATGTAGTGGTGGATGACAATGATCTTTAGGCAGTAAATAAAGTAGTCCCTGACAAACAAATAGTTCTATGAAAGTATTGTATGAATGGCAAATGATGTATCAGTTAAAGAGAACATTTAGCTCAATTATTAATGAAAATCACTTACAAACAGCAAATACTGTAACAACTGATAAACATATCATTTGATGAATAATTAAACTGATCTATGCAGTCAATAGCCGAGTGGTTGATGACAATGACCACTGAACAGCAAAAAATGTAGTGACTGAAAAACAGATAGTTCAGTGATAAATGAAAGTGACTTATAAACAGCAAATAATGCACTGAATTACAACAAATAGTTCAGTGACACGAAAAAGGAAAGAGGGGTAGAGGCAGACCAACAGAGAGGATGCTAGATGGGCTGAAATTATGGCAGGGAGGAAGATCATCAAGAGAGCTGTTTCAGGAAACCAGAGATTGTGATCTGTGGAGATGCACGAGTGCCTACGCCAGTTGGCAGGGCACACAATGATGATGATTTTCATTCCTACTACATGCTATCAGTGCCAAACATAGACAAAGAATAGGGCATCAGAACAGAAACTAACTACATGTGAAATGCACTGTCTCTGTAAAGTCACTAACAATACAATAAGGGACGGGGTTATGAACATCAGCATTAGAGAGAAAGTTGGAATAAGGCTGTGCCTGGATTATACTGGCAGACAAAGAAGGAAATGGTTTGGCCATCTAGTGAGCATGCAGCCAGACCAAACTGTATGAGGCTTTTTACAGCAGAACATCTGAGAGGAAGGCGAGGTAAAGACAAAGAAAGAGAAGGATAAGTGGTGTAGTTGAAACCTGCAAAAAAAGATGAGCAAATCTGCCACTCGAGCCACACACAAAAGTGTCAGACGCATATAGAAGACCATGATACTGTGCTACAACCTGGTATCAGTGTGAGGCCAAAAGAAGGAGAAGGAGACACATAAACAGCTAATAAAAATGACTGATGAAAGCGACCCACAAACAATAAATAATGTAGAGATTGATTTAGATTTTTTTTTTTAAAACAATCCCAATGAATGAACAAACAAATCAGTTAATGGCAAACAAAGAAATTAATTGAGACTGGCCTGGTTTTTCCATGACTGTCCAGGTCTCGTAATAAGGGAATGTGTTGTTGTCTGTCTCCACCCACTCAGCAAACTGGTTGAAAGTCTGTCCTGAAACAGAGAGACAGAAATCCAGTAGTTCCTCAGGGCATAATTATTTCTAAGCCAAGGATGTAATATCTTCAATCTGTTCAAGGGAATGTGTTGTTGTCTGTCTCAACCCAGTCAGCAAACTGGTTGAAAGTCTGTCCTGAAACACAGAGACAGAAATCCAGTAGTTTCTCAGGACAATCATTTCTAAGCCAAGGATGTAATATCTTCAATCTGTTCAGCACATATGCTGACTGTATAAAAAGAAAGCACTGATAATATGCTTATCAAAACTTTCACTTGACCATGCTTGTCTACAAGGAGTGGGAGTTACCTTTGATTTCTGCAACTTTCATGTCACCATGCTTGTCTACAAGGAGTGGGAGTTATCTCTGATGTCTGCAACTTTCATGTCACCATGCTTGTCTACAAGGAGTGGGAGTTACCTTTGATTTCTGCAACTTTCACTTGACCATGCTTGTCTACAAGGAGTGGGAGAAACCTTTGATTTCTACAACTTTCACTTGACCATGCTTGTCTACAAGGAGTGGGAGTTACCTTTGATTTCTACAACTTTCACTTGACCATGCTTGTCTACAAGGAGTGGGAGAAACCTTTGATTTCTGCAACTTTCACTTGACCATGCTTGTCTACAAGGAGTGGGAGAAACCTTTAACTTCTACAACTTTCACTTGACCATGCTTGTCTACAAGGAGTGGGAGAAACCTTTGATTTCTGCAACTTTCACTTGACCATGCTTGTCTACAAGCAGTGTGTGTTACCTTTGACTGCATACAACAGTGGTTTTTAACTCTTTTTTTTTTTATGTGACACCCCCTCTCCAGATTTGAAAACAAAATGTGATTAAAAAGAGAGGCGAAAAAGAAAACACCAGCACAATTAAAAAAGAACTGTGTTATCTTATTAATTAGATGTTTATCTGTAGATGTACAAACTGCTCACAAAAACAAAAATTTCCTTGGTTTTTTTGTTCTATAAAGTTTTAAAAATATTTTTTTGCAGAATTGAACGTGAATTTTTTTTTTTTATAACCAATTTTCACAAGGACATATGCAATTTAAAAAAAAATGTTCGACACACTTTGAACTTTACTCAGTCCCTTACAGTGATGCACTCCCAGGTTGAAAATCACTAGGAGAAGTGGGTGGTTCCTGTAACCGTCTACAGCAGTGATTCCCACACCGTGCGTCCTCACGACCTTTTTATAGGGACGCCGCAAAATGTTGTAAAAGCTGCATAATTAATTTAATCAAGACACGAATAGTCATACTTTTACTCAGGTTAGGGCGCCGTGGAAAAAAGTTTCATTGGAAAAAGGCTCCGTGGAACAAAAGTTTCATTGAAAAAAGGGGCCACGAATAAGACAAGTTTGGGAAACACTGGTCTACAGGAAACAGGAGTTACCTGTGATTTCTGCAACTTTCACCAATGTCCCATTCTCTGTCCAGTGTTTGTCGTCAATGCCCTTATAAATGCAAGCAGCACCTTGGTTACACCACAGCAGGTCGTTGTTCTGGGGTTCATGTGGGAAAGTACAGTTGAACAACTGGAACAGCTCGTACCATTCCATGGTCATGTTTACCCCAGACTGAACATGGTAGAATCCGATGGCATCATGCATAATGTTCTGCAGGTGGAAAATGAGAAAACAGACACGATGTCACAGATCACTACCATCAATAGGTAAGAAAGCATAAAATCATTCCGTGGCAAAACAGAAGCAGCGAAGAGAGAACACAGATGTTAAAAAGCAAATCAAATTCTTGAATAAATTCTTCCTTGGAGTAAGGTTTGATCGCAGCCTATCCTTCAAAGAACATGTTGACCATGTCATAACAAAAGCACGCAAAGGCTTGTCAGTAATAAGGGTCCTGGCTGTGGCTAACAGTGAGCAGAGACTGCTTCTGCTTCAGGGACTTGTACTTTCTCCTATCAAATATGTAATATCTGCTCCTTCTGGCGTAACACATATGATTTCAACTAATTCCTGATTAGCTGCCTTTTTAGGACATGCTTGTTAAGTAGTAGATGGTCAATCCCCCCCCCCCCCCCCCCCCCCCCCCCCCCCCCCCACCAATAAGATCCTAGAATCTGCATGAGGCAGCCAGGGATTTAAACCCAGACTATTTTTTTGGCAGCAAGTACACTAACTACTCTGCCACCATGGCAGCACAGAAGGATAACAGTTTTAGTTCTCAGAATAATATTAAATATACCATAAGAAAACACTGATAAACAGAGTAATGAAGATGTCTTGAAGAAAGTTACACAATAAGAGAACTGATTGCCCACATCAGAAAGAGACAATCTACATTCTTTGGACATGTGAGGAGAAGGGAAAACTGGAGTACACCGTGATGATAGGAAGGTTGGAGGGGAAAGAGGCAGAGGGAGACTGAGAAAGAACATGCTGGACAGTTTGAAATCATGGCATGAAAGATCATCTGCATCAGAGCTGACTGAAAGTACACGAGACAGAAGGCTGTTGATATACATGACTATTAGTGCCATACTGAATGGACTTGATAAGAATAAAGTGCAGTGCCAAGGAGCGTGAAAAAAAAAAGTCAATCAACAATAAAATATACAATGTGTTATAGGACTTTAAGCTTGACATTTTTTGCTCAGTGTCATCAGATACTACTATAGATTTGATACAAATATATAATAAGGCACATAAACAAATTCTTTTAACTTCTTCTTTCTTCCTTGTCGATATTTGCTTTGTGCTTCTAGGCACTGCACTCCAACAGATGATCAATCAGTATTTGAGTGCTTGGTTGCTAGAAGTCTTAATGACTCCTTTCTTACATATTCATCTAGGTCTTCCTATGCTTCTTGATTTGTCTATTTTCATATCGTAAGATCTTGTTGCCGGCACTGTTGGGTGCATTCTCATTATGTGGCTGAACCATTTCATTCTTTGTCCGAAAGGAAACACACAATCACACTGACCCCTGTTACACTCTGCATGTCAATACAGAAGCCTTAGGTTAACCACATGACCCTGTTGTTTAGCGACACTGATTGTTTACGCACACAATAAAAAGAAGGAAAAAAAACTGACTAATTCATTTTAACAATAATAAATACACAAGTGATCAGAATAAAACATTAAATGATGTTGAAGCAAAGAACACTAACAAAATACTTGAGCAGAGATCCAAACTTGAACTCCCAGACTGGAGCTTTCATGGCATACACATACAGGGTGTCATTAGCATTAAACTTCGGCATGTAGTTTGGCTGCATCCCTGTTGGACAGAAGGCAATGACTCCTGCCTGGCAGTAGCTGCTACTGACCGGCCGGCTAGCATATTTTCTGCAACATCATATACTGAATTAATTAATTTTTTTTTAAACTAAGGGACGCAACAAACTATTTCTTTCCACGATGCTTAACGGCAAAAGTGGTTTATGATGATGATGATCCTTTGAAGTCAGAGTGCATCTGCCCGAGCAGCATGGAATGAGCAACTGTGCATGAATAGGCCAGCAAAACTGAGGTACACACAAAGACTCAGGTCCTGGAACAAAGCCAATGTCCAAATGGACAAACAACCAGGACTTTCCACTGGAGCTTACAAACAGTGAACAAAGAAGAAGAGTTATTTTTAAAAAAAGGTGCGAACTACTGTGCACCGTTGCATACCGCAAGACAAAACCCAAGACAGACCAACAGCTGATCAGTGAGGTTGTCAACAGCTACCAATTCCTTCCAGTTTACTTCCTGGCACCCATTTCTGTCTGGAAGCCGAGGTCATTGATGCAAATCTGGATTTAGCACCATATGCACCACCAATGGCCTGAACATTTATAGTTTACTTAACTCTGTGTGTATGTGTAACTCTGTATTATACGAGTATGTATGTGTGTGTGTGTTAGTATGTGTGTGAGTGTGATATGTTAATCACTAGCCAGCTAATAGCAGTCTCATAAGTAGAAACCTAAATTTATAAATCATGACTAAATTACCAACTACTAACCTAAAAGTGAATTCTTCTTCTTCACATTCACCAGTTGTAAACTTCAGTGGCACTGGTTGTTTGTCCACTTCTGAACTTTGGTGCTGACCCAGAACTTAAAAGTCTTGCATGCACCTCCGATTTACAATTCTGGCATATTCATATGCAGACTGTTGGTTCCTCACCCCTCAGGCAGTTGAACTCTGACTTTAAAGAAAATATTCCTTATCAGTCGTCTCCTACGATATGCTTGTTAAGAAGTAGTGGGTCTTTTCTATGTTCTTCAAAATGGAACCGGGAAACCACAGTTTACTGAGATTAAAAATAGGAAAGTAAGAATCTTACTAAGAAATGAAAAATAACAAAACAGTTTGAATTTAAACTTTGGTTTAATTACTACAAAAAGTTCGGTAAATGAAATATGTGTGTTTGTGCCTGTTTTAAAGTAGTTTAGTTTGTTTCTTTAAAGTTTAGGCTCTCCTTGCAACTACGGCCACATATTGGGGGAGTACGCCGGAGTTCAGTCCCCTGGCCGCATTGCAATTATGGAATGGAGAAGGAACAAATCACACAACATTGCAATTATGGAGTGGAGAAAAGGGAACGAAACAAATGATGTAATTAGTGTGTGTTGGCGATAGACAGCGTGAGAGATAGAAAGCTTGCAGTGCACTGCTGTCATCATAGGGTTAGGGTTGGGTGCAGTGCACTGCTGTCATCATAGGGTTAGGGTTGGGTGCAGTGCACTGCTGTCATCATAGGTTTAGGGGTTAGGGGAGAATAATTTCAGTCCCCTGGCTGCATTGCAATTACGGAGTGGAGAAGAGGGAACGAAACAAATGACGTAATTAGTGTGTGTTGATAGAAAGCGTGCAGTGCACTGCTGTCATCATAGGTTTAGGGTTAGGGTTAGGGGAGAATGCGGTCGCTAATTTGAGTCACAGCGCGTGGTCTGCCAGCCATGTCGACCTCACTTTGTTGTGTGATTTGTTCCTTCTCCATTCCGTAATTGCAATGCGGCCAGGGGACTGAACTCCGGCGTACTCCCCCAATATGTGGCCGTAGTTGCAAGGAGAGCCTAAACTTTAAAGTAAAGAAACAAACTAAACGGCGCTTCTTTGATTTATTCCCCAAAATGGCGGCATGCCAGATTCTGGCCATAAAATATCCAAAAATATCCGAACGACGGTGTTCGCGTATATCTAAAATACGGACTTTCTGCCAACGAACAAATCGCGGCAAAACTAGGATTACTTGACAACCAATATAAACATTTGCACACGGTACTAGTAGCAGACGATAAATACCGACAAATTTCGAGCGTTTCTGCAGACGACGATACTAGCAGACGATATTAGCGACCGTTGACCAATTTCGAGACATTACAGACGATGAAAGCGATTAGCAATACTGTGTTCTTCCGATTGGAGGATTTAGCAGCGGTAGATGTCAGACTTGTCGGCATGCGCCAAACGTGATTAAACTCATCGCCGAGCGTATCTAGGTGCCTGGGACTCACGAGTACAGCAATTGGAGGAAGTTGCAGGAGATGCGGTAGCTGCCACTCGTGAGTCCCAGCCATCTAGTTTAGCCCCCATCCGTGCCGCGCGTAGCGGCGCGGGGGATACACTTGGCGGTGAGGCACACTCGCAGAAGCAGGTCGGCAAGCAACGTATCGCCCAGACCCTGTCAGAGCATTTGTTTCGTTATTCGGAGCCGGCACATATATTTTCATTAGAACTGACCCCGCACTCAGATATTTTTGGATGTTTTATGGCCAGAAAGTGGCCAATTTAGCTCCTTTTTGAACGCCATCATATTACAGCCGCCATTTTGGGGAACGATTCAAAGAAGCGCCAACTAAACTAACTTTAAAACAGGCACGTACACACACATTTCATTTACCGAACTTTTTGTAGTAATTAATTCTAATAACTTGCCTAGCCTATACCTGTGCGGCTGCGGCCATGATACTACAAGACTGTGTGAAATCGTCGCCCACACAGATAAGAAAAGCGTTAAACAAACAAGAAAGTGAATGGACATGAACAAACTCCCACTCTTCGCCATTTTGTCCAGGTCACATGAGAAGGGAGCTCTCCAGGCGGCGGAGGTTACAGAAGTTAGGACATACGTCTGCTGGACTCTTTATGTCGGAGAACCGTGGTCCAGAGCTGGTCTTCTCATAACAGATTAGTTAATGAATATATGAACAACATCGATGATCAGGAGACGTTTCTTTGAGGGAAACTGTTTAGTAGGTAAGGTTTAACTTAAAATTTTAAAGACTCGAGTCAGTGAGTTGGCTTGCTGATGGTTTCATTTCTTGGCTATCCTCCGACTAACGGTCCCAAATGGCTGGGCCTACCCTAGGCACCAGAGCCATACTGAAGACAGCCACTGCCCAGCCCGTCCTGTCGATACTCAACATCGATTGGAACAATTGGATTTTGTTGTTGAGAATCGACGGGACTGTCTGGGGCTACCTAACAAAAACAATACTGTCACGAGATGGTCACCCTTCTTATGTATAAAATAACAGTGATGTGTTATTCTGTTATTTGTGTATTTCATTGTGCATCATTTTCTGTAGCTGTGTAGTAATGCACCTGCCCAGATAGGGCAGAATAATTCTGACAGTAAATTCTGCCCGTATTATTTAAGCTTCCTCTTCTTTTGGGTCCACTGACTCACATACTGTACATGTGTATTGTAGTTGTACACATGACATTACCTCTTTTTTGTACATGCATATTGTAGTCGTTTTACACATTAGCTTACTCATTCTATGCTATACATCTTAACCCTACATTCATTATTTAGTCCAAAGATAGTATTGTATACTTTTTGCTCTTCTATCCTAGACAGTTGAAACTGTCATTGATAATGAATAATTAACTCACTCTATTTAATCAGTTAGTTAATTAATAGTAGTTCTACAGCAGTTGGTTATGTTATGGTCGAGGGGACCAGAATAGCAAGGACAAGAATGGAGAACCTTGTATCACCCCCGACATCGAAAGCAGTACAAGATATAAAGCAAAATAATAGTTCAGTTCTTTCTGCCCATGCCTGTAGTGCTAATATTTATGTGTGTGTTTACCTTGAAAACAAACATGATCTGCTTTATAATGAGGACATTTCATGAAACAGTTAAATAAATTATGACTGGGATCAAAATTGTTAGACTTAATTAACAACTTGAACTGAGGACTAAACTGAGGCTTGTATCTAAGCTCCTCAGTGTATTGTAAAGTAAAGGGCCTCTTTCCACACCTTTAGGCATATTGGGCATAGAAGGCTAAACCAATGTTTTATAGACCAATCAGTGGATGATGTATTCAGCATCACACCAACCACCTTTACTTCCCAGGACTTTACCTGGTACCCACTGAAGGCTGAGTCAACCTTGTAGCCAAGGTCTTTCTGAAGAAAAACTGGTTCTGTCAGGGCTTTAACCTTCGGACCTGCAAGCGAGCGTCCAGCCTCTCCACCACGATGGTTCCCTAATGTGTAGCACATTAACCAGTAAAGACAGAGATGACCACATAGGAATTAATGCCGTTGAAATGAACTAATTAATATTTTCTAAAGGTCACAAACTCAGCACCCAAGCCCATCTTAACATTCAACGCTTCCAAACATTCATCTTTCTGATAAGAGTTCACAGCCGGTGAATATGAAGAGAAAGAAAGACATGTCTCAGTAGTAAAGTATTTAATGACTTAAAAAATCACTATTATACCTTGTATGTGTGTAGCATTTTACATATTGAAGTACTTAACAACTTGCACATTGCTCTTTAAAATGACCTTGGCTCCCAGGTCAACCCAGTCTTAATGGGCTACCAGGTATAGTCTTGGAAAGTGAAGGCGGCCAGCATGGTGTTGATCACATCATCTGTAGAGTGCTGATTGGTCTATAAAATATAGATCTAGCCCTATATGCCTGAAGGCGTGGTAAAAGGTCCTTTTCTTTACTTACTAACATTGCTTTTTATACAGATGAAGAGACCTTTCAACAAGTAAACTTTTCTTGGAACATAGAAACATATCCTGGAGCAAATTCACATTGCTGACGGGACAGAGATAAGTTACAAGCATGCCAGGCACAGACTTTGTTTCTCAGGTGAGATAGTAGTTAAACAGTTAGTTGTGTGTCCTTTACAGGATGTTGCGGAACCAGCCCCAGCGTTGTTTTGGCTGCTGGTGATTGCACTAGGCTTATTTTACATTTAGTAGTTTGCCATTGCTTCTGAATGGCCAGCTCTCAGTACCACTGTCAAAATTTATACAGGGGAGTCTGCTGCCAAATTGCCTGCAGCAGGTATTGAACCTGGTAGCTTGGAGTTACAAAGTATGTTCACAATGTCTGAGCCACAGACACTGACACAGGTATTCCCTCATGTATTTTACGCAGCACTCACAGACATTCTGTCTTATCTCTTACATAGATAGACATTTCCTCATATCTTTTACTCTGTGACACAGTCATCCCCTCATGTCTCTTACACAACACACACAGACAAACATCCCTGATGTCTTTTACACAGCACTCAGACATTCCCTCATGTCTCTTACACAACGCACACAGACAAACATCCCTGATGTCTTTTACACAGCACTCACAGACATTCCCTCATGTCTCTTACACAACACACACTGACAAACATCCCTGATGTCTTTAACACAGCACTCACAGACATTCTGTCTTATCTCTTACATAGATAGACATTTCCTCATATCTTTTACTCTGTGACACAGTCATCCCCTCATGTCTCTTACACAACACACAAAGACAAACATCCCTGATGTCTTTTACACAGCATTCACAGACATCCCCTCATGTCTCTTACACAACACACACACACACACAAACATCCCTCATGTCTTTTACACAGCACTCACAGTCATTCCCTCATGTCTCTTACACAACACACACAAACAAACTTCCCTGATGTCTTTTACACAGCACTCACAGACATTCCCTCATGTCTCTTACACAGTCAAAGACATTCTCTCATGTCTCTTACACAGTTGTATTCCCTAATGTCTCTTACACAGTCACAGACATTCCCTCATGTCTCCTACACAGCACTCCCAGACATTCCCTCATGTCTCTTACACAGTCGCAGACATTTCCTCATGTCTCTTACACAGTTGTAGACATTCCCTAATGTCTCCTACACAGTCACAGACATTCCCTCATGTCTCCTACACAGCACTCCCAGACATTCACGCATGTCTCTTACACAGTCGCAGACATTTCCTCATGTCTCTTACACAGTCGCAGACATTTCCTCATGTCTCTTACACAGTCGAAGCCATTCCCTCATGACTCTTACACAGTCACAGACATTCCCTCATGTCTCTTACACAGTCAAAAACATTCCCTCGTGTCACTTACACAGACAAAGACATTCCCTCATGTCATACACAGTCAAAGTTTATGTTTATGTTCAGTTGACCAGACAGTGTGCATTTTTTATAAATTGTTGGCATTAACATAACCAGATAGTGTATATTTTCTGTAGACTGTTAATGTTGAGTTGATGTGCACTGATGTTAACATCACTGGGCAATGTACACTCTATATTGATAGTTGATGTTAAAATTACCAGACAGTGCTGACTTTCTGGGGATGTTGTTAACATAATCAGAATTGGCATTTTCTGTAGATAGTTGCTGCTAACATGACCGGGTAATTTACAGTTTCTGTGGATAGTTAATTTTAACATGACCAGACAGTGTACACTTTCTGTAAATAGTTGATATTAATATGACTAGACAGTTTTCTCTTTCTGTAGATAATTGATGTTAAGTTGACCAGTCAATGTATACCTTCTGTAGATAGTTGATGTTGACATTAAGTGGAAGTTGAGCATGGCGGTCAGCAGTAATGATGTCAGAAGCTTGAATGAACCACTGGTCACAATGATGATAGTGACGACAGATGAAGGTGGACAGAAAGTCAACAGATCAGTGGAGCTGACTGTACTCAGATTTAGGGTATGATCGTTTATAAATTGTTTTCTTATGTCCCAATACCACCATCTGTTTTCCCAAAACACTTTAAAATCATACTCCCTCTTATTTGTTACACACAGACATGCCATAATGTCTCTTACACAACACATGCAAATATTCCCTCATATCTCTTACACAAGACGGACACTCCCTCATATCTCTTACACAAGAACGATGCTCCCTCATATCTCTTACACAAGACGGATGCTTCCTCATATCTCTTGCATCCCCGTGTGTTCCACTGCCCTATTATAGGGAAAACAAGAATAGACCCACTGTCTATCCAAAAGCATGTAAAGGAAGAATTGAGATTAATGTAATGGAAGAATTGGGATTAATGTAAAGAAAGAACTGGACAGAATTAGCTAAAAAAAAATAGAAGATTCTGTAAAGTTTAGTGAGGATTATCATTGCAGCAATCACAGCAGATCTGTATGTGCTTTGATCTCTTGTTTAACAGCTTTTTCTCTTTAGTCTATTCCATGTGGCGTTGGTAGCCATGTCTATCCACAACCTTCTGTCTCATGTGCTTTCAATCAATTATATCACCGATGATCTTCCATGTCATGATGTCAAACTGTCCAACATCTTCTCTCTCTGTCTCTCCAGCCTTCCCACCAACAAGATGCACTCAAGTTTCCTCCTTCTCATGAAGAATGTAGATTGTCTCCTTCTGATGTAGGTAATCAGTTTTTTTTTTGTTTTTTTGCAAGTCAGTTTCTTACAGCTTCACAAGTGTACAATGAAACAGATTGGGTAGATATCAATAAATAAATGGTGAGATAACTGACAGTGAAAGAGTTAATTGCCAAAATAATACACTGTACTAATTTCAGATCTAGTCATTTCGATAAACTGGAATATGAGAGTAAGAGTCAACTATTTGAGAACTTCCTTCAAAGCCGGAGAACATTTGCCTGAGAGGCAAGGAACCAGCAGTTTGCATACAGATGAGTCAGATCTGTAAAATGGATGCACACGCAACACTCAGATTCTGGAAGAGTACTGAAGTCCAGAAGTGGACGAAAAACTAGAACTTTCCAC